ATTTTTGGTTTTTGTTTTTAAATAAAGGAATACGAAAAGATGTTTTGAATTAAAAAAAAAAATTAAATAACGAATATGCATAAAGATTCGATGAATAATTCGTGGTATTGTAGATCAAATGTGGGTTTATATATTTAATAAAAACAATCTTACCTAAGACACTCATTCATAACTCATGATGAGTAGGTTATGTATATTTAAGAAAATAAAAATCTAAAATTAGGTATTTATGTACTACCTGAACATAAATAATAAACATCCTTTTAACTAATTAACACATTAATTATATTAATAAAACTCCTAATTGATTTAGTGGTCACAGTCTCACAGATGATATATAGCTGCTAATTAGAAACCAGAATATATAAAAAATGCAAAATATATATATAAATATAAGCATCAAGGAACAATCCATTGTCCAGCTTTAACACTACCATGCCATGTTATATATATTTTACCTTCCTTTTTCTTTTTTTTTTTTTTTTCCATATCGCATGCACATTAATAAAGGGACCGACCCTATTGCCTTTTTTTTTTTCTTTTTCTTTTTTTGGTTAACCATTCAATTATATGAAGAAAAAAAATATCTCAAAAAAAAAAAAAAATTCTACGATAAACAGATTTCTTTTGCTATCATGTTAGCAAGTGTTGGGTAATTAGTGAACTAAGAAACGTATAACCCGATATCGAGTTCAATTTATGTTGCACTGTGCATGGCCGGGGAGTTAGATTAAATATAAACATATATATACATGGGTATGTGTGAGATTATATATAAATCTACAATTAAACTACATTAAGTGTAAATAATCAAAGTGTAGCATCTAATTACTTGCGCCGTGTTTCTTTGTGAAAGAAAAAAAGAAAGTAATGGAATTATATATTCAACCCTAAAAAGAAAAGTACAAGTGAAGATGATTGAGAGGTACCACCATAATTTGGTCGTCGTCGGTCTTCTGGTCAATTTGATTCTTTTTAATGATTGTTTGTATATTATTATTATTATCATTTCATTTGGCCAATTATATTAAATCCTTTCAAAGCAATTTAACACCTTTTTTGTTTCTCTAGCTTTACTGCTTTGCCCTTTTTACTAAGTGATGAATCATTATAATTCATATTTTCATTACTGGTTTTTATTTTTGAATTAATTAATCATATGCTTTGATGACTCTGCTGATTAATTCTTTAACCCCACGTGTCTTTTGATTTTCAAATTCTCTTCTAAATAGCACTTAGCCCCCTCAAAAAACGCCATTTTAGTATTTTCCCCTTGAAAATATGAAAAAGGGATAACGCCCCTTAAAACATACAACTTGCCGCATTGTGCATCAAAAGTGTATTTACGGTGAATTTCTCGTCGGATTTGAGTAATCTGAAATGATAATTTCATAATTTTGGACTCTCTTTTTCTCCCGCAAATCGGATCAACCAAATTAGGGGGTTCTTCTTTACTCCAAGTCTCAAATTAGAATCGGAGTCGTGAAATTGGAGTCGGGCTCCATTTTCGGAAGGAATTCGTCCACGAATCCTTGGACGCCACCGAGCCGTCGTTGTTGGAATCGGAAACATCGGTCGGTGGAACTAAAGGGCCACCCCTCGGAAATTATTATTTTATTGTGGTTCTAAACTGAAATTGTAAAACAAACATTTCAATGTAACGGGCCGATAAAATTGTAACGCTTCAACTTTGGGCCAATCATATCAATATCAGCAACTATATCTACATATATACATGTCAAATTATTATTATTATTATTATTATTATTATTATTATTATTATTATTATTATTATTATTATTATTATTATTATTATTATTATTATTATTATTATTATTATTATTATTATTATTATTATTATTATTGATATTTCTTTTGTTATAAATAAAAGTTGAATGTATCTGAGTTTTTTTAGGGTAAATTACAACCAACCCCTGAGATATGATTAAATTACGAAAAACTCCCTCATGTTTGGATAATTACATCTACCCCATCAACTATGAATCTTCTTACACCTCCGGTTTTATCTATCCTACACCCGGTGAAGGTTACACCGGGTGATTTTTCACCGTTGATCTACACACACCAATGTGGGTGTGTGTGTGTTTGTGTGTATATTAATGGTAAAGATCTACCCGGTGTATTTCATCCGGTGTAGGATCTCAAAAGCCTTACACCTCCACCCTTATGATGTCAAATTCAGCATAATCATCTATAAACATACAGTTTCTGATGCACCACAATCTGATATATACATGCCAAAAAACACATCTTATGATCATCTTGGTTCAAAATGTGGAGCTTGAATGGGATAAAACGGGTACAAAAATGATAATATTCCATATAAATAAGAAGATTCCACTAAATTTGAAAATGCAAGTGTAAACGTGTAAGAAAATTTATAATTGAGGAAGTTGTTGTAATTAACCAAACATGAAGGGATTTTCATAATTTTACCATACCTCAAGGGTTGTTGTAATTTATCTTTTTTTTAATATACGACAACAATGTATGTGAGTTATTACACCTCGTAATCCTTGACTGCTTGTAATCCACAGAAAAGATGTAAATCATGTTACACATAAACTATATACTATATGACAAATTTTACCTAAAAATTGTTAGCGATGAATTCGAACCCATGTCATTTGACGGTTCCACTAAATTTAGCAATTATTTTAATTAAATGAAGGCAGCAGTTATATGCAAGCCTATTTTTTTATTAGTTCAAGACCTCCAACATAAAAATACTAATTTACCCATAATGAAATTCAAAACCAAATAAAAAACACAAAATGTATAAAAAAAAAACGGCATTACAACGCCGATTTTTACTTGTAAAGTCGACGTTGTGTCGCCGATTTGGTTAACAAAAATCGGCATTATGACGCCGATTTTCGTGTATAAAATCGGTCTGGATAAACCGATTTGGGAAACCAAAGAAAACGCACAAAAAAACCAATTTCAATCTCAATTTTTTTTCCAAAATCGGCTAAAGCATTGCAACCCAACAAGAAATAAGTATAGATTAATATTCATTCACGCATATTTATGAAGAATCGAGATACTCGATTAATGTTTTAGGATTTACAAACAAAAGTTTGTAAAAATGACTTACCTGTTGGTGGTGGTGCAGTGGGTGGGTCGCTAGTCGTCGTCGGCGCGGTGGAAACCTCGCTGGTCGGCGTTGCAGCGGTCTGGCTGCAGCGGCTGTCGTGAGGTTTTTTTTTTTTTTTTTTTTTGATGTTTTGGTCTTGAACAAATAAAAAATAGGGTTTGTTTGTATTTGGATATTATTTGTAAATAAGGGTATGTTCGTCCTCTTTGATCTTGATGTAATAAGATTAGATTAATTTACGGGTTTAAATTAATAAATCCTTTTATATGGATTTGGACTAATAAATAAATGGTTTTTATATATCCGTCGCCTTAAATAAATTAATGTTCCCTAAATGAGATGTTCATGACTAAGAGAGGCAAAATTGGACTACAATTTCTGATAAAATTATGTATTTTCGTATTATATAATAATACTATATAATACAGTTAAAATTATATAAATTCATATAATTGAAATAATAATTTAATACGTTTTCACCGAAATAAAAAATTGGATTGAAATCTGTTTAGAAAAATCATGATATAAAATTCAACATATATTTTATTTTTGATTAAGGAAAAAGTAAAAAAAATAAGAATTCTGAATTAAGTTTGAATCGGCGGAATTCAAACCAACAAACAGTGGCTGCTTCAACCCGACCGCATTGTTTCGAAAACTGTGACGAATCATTCACTTTAATCTGTTCCAGGCTAAAGAGATGATGGTGGTATCATATTTTCTTGAACAAAAGATTAAAATATGCATCAAATTAAATTAAATGAAATTAAATTGTTGCTGGGAGATTAAAACATATAGCAAAATGAACAGCACTGCAAATAAATAAGACAGTAACACACACAAACACCGAATTAAATTAACTTAGAAGTGTCATCGAAATAATAATTAATCTCCCCTCTCTTCTATACCAAATCCCAAACTCAAATTAAATCCCCCAAAAAAAAAAAACTTAAAAGCTGATGATAAACAAACTGAAATAATACACCAAGAAAGAAAAACCTCCAGGTTGATCTATATATACATACACACATATATATAAATATATAATAAAAGGTTTTTAATAAGAAATCATCAACCAACGCACTCCTGGAAAAATTCGAAACTTGAGCTAACCTTGGAACAATGTGGTTGATGACAAAACCTTAATTTGGCAAATTAATGGCAGATATAGTAGGTAGTATGACGTGGATCCGAGGTTCCTCTCAGCGCAAAAATGGCGGCAGCCTTCCGTAGCTTCTCTAAAAGTAAGCAGGCCGCCTGCTTATATATATATGTATGTATATACCCAATTCAAGAATCTTCTTCTTCTTGCTGCTGACATGATCACTCCCATCCAGATCATTAATTAATTTAATTTCTCCCATCATTAATAAATCCTCGATCCATCCATATATATATATATATATATATATATATATATATATATATATATATATATATATATATATATATATAGAGAGAGAGAGAGAGAGAGAGAGAGAGAGAGAGAGAGAAATTGGAAAACAAAAAAACTGAACTAAAAACCCCTCTACCAAAGGACCAAAGTTAATGAGAGAGGGAGATGCAGGAGATGAAGAAAAGAAAATTAAATGAGAGAAGGGACTGAAGAAGAAGGAGCCATGTTCGAAGGGTCAAACCAAGAACCAACGTTGTTATTATTACTACTACTTGTGTTCCATACAAGTGATGAAGAAGAAGAAGCTGCCGGATCAGAAGAATTGTTATTAATCATCATTTGTTCGTTATTAATATTTGGATTCCACCTGTTTATTGAAAGGTGGGTATTATCCTCATTATCATAATTATTAATAGGATGAGGAGATGAATCAGTGATACCGAATTTCTGGTGTTCAAGGGTTGAAGCTAGCAGGGAAGCCATTGTTGAGCTTGAAGATCCGAACAATACTGAATTGTAGTTGTTATTACCAGACGATGATTGGATTAATTGCCTGCTGAACCCGCCATTTTTGTAGTCTTCGTCAATTGCTGCTGCCGCCATGTTCAGACCAGATGAAAACCCTAATATTCCAAGGCTGCTCTCATGAGTTTGTGGAAGATCGAATATTAATCCAGCACCTGTATTATTATTGTTGTCTGAAGAAACCCTAGCCGCTGAATTAGTACTGTAGCTTGAAAATGGAAAGTTCAGCTCAATTGGATAAAACGACGACGTATTACTGTTGTTGTTACTCATCATATAGTTCGAAGCATGTGGCCGGGACGACGACGACGACAGATCTATCTGTTGATGATGTTGAGCACTACTATGTTTAGCGGCGGAGGTGGTTATTCCTCCACCACTACCACCGCCGGCGCTGGACGACGGGCGACGGAGCTTCTTGTTCTTCCGGCAACCACCGCCGACGGGGACGTTTCTGAGTGTCCCACCTCTAGTCCAGTAACGCTTGCAAGCTTTGCAGAAGTGTCTCGGCTGAGACAAGCTGTAGTTGTTGTAGTAGCAGAATTTGGTGTTCGCCGAATCGCAGCGCGGGCACTTTAGATGCGGCGGCGGCGGCAGTTGCTGCTGCTGCGGCGGAGGTGGTGGTGGAGGATCTGTTTTTTCCATAACTTTATTGTTATTTGGTACTGATGCAGCTGATGATGAATCTATCATACTTTTCTGATCATTTATCTGCTGTATCTGGTTCTGGTTCTGAAACAAACAAAGAGAGAGAAAGAAGAGAGAGAGAGAAATGAAGAAGGCGTGGTATTAGGGTATAAAAAACAACAAGATGGATATTCTATGACAAAAGCTAAGAAACAAAAGAAATGGGGTCATCTTGTAATAAGTCCAATTATTGATATATATATACATGCATCTCTAGAGAGAGAGAGAGAGAGTTGGGAGAGAGAGAAAGGAACCTGTGGCCATTGATGAGTCATGATCTTCTCTCACAGTAGGTTTGATCTCTTAATTAGTTCCACATACAAATACACCCAGAAATTAAGAGAGACAGAGAGAGAGAGAGAGAATCCTTTCAAACAAATAGTTAGAAGACAAGGAGCAGGTGACCAAGTTATGAGAAGTCGTTTTGGTTGACGGGGTTTGAATTTTTTATTTTTTTATTTTTAAATCAATTAATTTCGAGAGAGAATGATTAGAAAGGGAATTATATATATATTTTTATATATATATATATATATATATATATCATTTTTTTATTCCTAATTTCACGTGAAGCTCCTCCTGCCCACAACCTAATTAATTCAATTAACTTTTTAATTAACAATAATTATAAAAATTCGTTGCATTTAATTCTTGTCACATATGTGATTTTAGATTTAGATTTTACCTCTTTTAAAGCTTTGGTTGATTTAAGAATTTTAGTGCACTTAGGCCGTTTGATTGACAAAATCCGATTAATCAAAATAAAATTAAATAATCTAATGAAATCCAATTATTTTATTGGAGCTTAAAACTTCCAATAATATAAACTCATTAGAAGGCAAAATAAGCCAAAATAAGTCATGATTATATAATTTGACAGGTCGACCCGACAATTTATTGAGGATACCAAACATTAAATTTAAGTCCAACTATTTAGTTAATCATGACTTATCTTGGCAACCAAACGGGGCATTAGAAGTTAAAAAAATACTTCGAAGAATGTAACAAATGACAATTTCAGCCCAGAAAGCAGTCTAATTGGTGGAGTAAGTGAAATCTAATTCGATATAACTATCTGATGCCAACACTCATTAGGTCGAACTCACTCGCACCTACATTTTATGTGTTGCGGGTTTCTTTGTCACAAGATTACAATTATATATATTAGAAGAGAAATTGTATTTTTTTATTTCTTTAATAACTTGAATAGAGCAAAATAATTGAATAAAGAAGAATTCTATTGTTATTTCAAAATAATCATAGCTCTTAATATATAGAAAATGGCGTGTAGTATGTATATATATAAGTTAGAAGAGCATTCTGAGAGTAGGAATAAAAGAGAACAATTGACATTGAATTAGTGTGTGTGTGTGTGTTATCTATATATTTATATATACTAATACGTATGTATAATTATATGTATGTTCTTATAAAAAAAAAAAGTATAATGGATGCAGTATGTATGTGTTATGTATGTATGTAGAGACATAGATAATAGGGAATCCCTGGGGCTCGATACACGAGGTTCCAACAGCAAATCCCACTCACTCTTCTTCTATATTAATAAAATAACTTCAACTAAAAATAAATTAAAAAAAAAAAATGTTCAAGGCTTTGTTTGGCACTTCCCAAAAACTTTTTGCCTCTCTTTTTTTTTCAAAATTAATCTGAGGAAGTTGGCGGAATTTTTTTAAGACACACTAGATCAGTTTTCTTTCTCCTGCATAAAACATATGAGGCAAAAAGAAAATAAAAACAAGAATTTTATTGTAAAATAGCCTATTTAATATATTATTTTGGTTTAATGATTGTGAAATCACATAAGCACGTAAATAATAAGAATAGAAATACAGAGAAAATAACAGCATGAGAGAGAGAGACAATTTGTATGTTCGCAGTAAACGTCAATTAGATCATATGTTCTGGTTATATGTTAATGTAAACTTTATCATTTATATCTTACTATCGCACATATGTATAGTCTAGATGAGTACATATTTCACATACATTTAATATTGTCAAAGTAAAAGAATTATTCAGTGTATCTCATCAAGTGTAACGTACATGAGTAACACTGACCCATATAGTATTTGAGACTTTGAAGTCAAGTTATATTACAAGATATCCAAACAAATTTAATAAATTTGAAATTATTTATTCGAAATCCATAAATCCAAAATGTTACTAAATTGTCTACAAAAGAAAAATAAAAAAAAAATTGACAAAATAATTGTCAACTGAGAAATGGAAATATGCCACCGCCCATCCTCCACCCACCCCCACCCCCACCATGACTGGCAAAGAGACACGAGAGATTCCCCAAATGGCGAACATGAAAGAAACTCAACATGCACGATTTCTAGAGAGAGAGAGAGAGGACATGATAGGAACACTCATTTCTTCGTAGGGACCAAACTGTCATTCCAACCTAACACATCTACATCCCATCCTTACCCAAACAAACCACGTCGCGACAAACTACGAAATTCCCCTTCCCCTTTCTTTTATTATTATTTTTTTTTAATACAATTTACATTACATTGTTTGGTTGGTTTGTTAATCAATCCCTATCGAAATTTTTATATACTAGACTCTATTCTTTTCATATTCATTACACCTTACACTTAAAACCCATCGGAATTAGGAACCAATATCTATCCTCATTATAAGAGCATCTCCAACAACATAATGTATGTCTATAATTTACATCTTTTGCATATTTTAAACCTAAAATTACATCTCCAACAACAAAATGGGAAAAGGCAAAAAATTTTACATTTTAGTTTTGCATATCTAAATTTGAGAAACCAAAACCACAATTTGACAAATTGTGTAAACATAAACAATAATAAAAATTCCATAAGTGCTATTTTTTATATATTAAATACAATAATTATTTTGCTATTATTCACATATATGTTTCCATGTATATTTTTATTTATAAAATAAAGAGTTTTTAGTTTTTTTTTTTAATATATGTATATATAACATTAAATTATCCTTTGCAATATATTTTAATTTCCAAACAAGTTTCTGAGTAAAAAACTAAAACAAGATATATGTATGCATGTGAAATTAAAACTATAGTTGTTAAACTTAATTCAAAACTTTTTTTTTTTTGTAAAATAATAAAATATGATAATTGTGTAAAATATAAATAATGTTGTTGGAGTGTGATGTTAAAAGTGGTGTTGCTTGTTGCATAACACTGTTTGCCTCTTAAATTATAGATATAGACAATCGGTTTTTAAACAAATGTCGGAGATGACCTAAAAAAACAAAAAAAAAAAAAAAAAAAAAACTAGAGAATGTATATATTGATATATTAATTAAAAAATTAATATAATTATAGAGAAAGTCACACGTTGGGTGAGTCAGACCACACTACCTAAAACCTCATTATTCAATTATAGCAAGGCTAAGTGCATTGGTCAAAATGAGTCCACATGCTTCTCTATTTTAAGCATCAGGCATGGGAGGGTGGGTCCCACCTTGTTACGGGACTTTTCTAAACTCACCTACAAATTAGTACAATCTCCTCCACCTATTTAGTCACCCCCAAAAAACAAAATTGCAAATTGAATAGATATATTCATTGACTCGAAATCATTTAAATAAACACCATATATTGGTTTTCCCCTTTTTTTATATATAATTAAATATCAGATTTATAATATTTCAAACGAGAAAAAAAAATATTTTTTTTCTAGGACAAAGAATCACTAAAATTCAAGATTTAAATATACATTATTCTTGAAAATATTCTGCAAGTCTTCGACGTTGACTATAACTATGACTATTGCAAACTCAAATTCCTATATTAATTGTATGGTATGTCACAAGTTGGTAGAATGGGCTCGAGACAAGTATTTTTCTAACAATAACCAGAGATTATAAAACAATAATCAAGACAACTGCCTCAATCGTTGTTCATATATACTTTTTGTTAGGTAAAGTGCACAAAACGAACTACTGAATTTTCTATTGCAATTGACAAAAAATCGGGTTTTGATTCTTAGAAGGCTCTAAAATAGTTCAAAATATGGGCAAAAGTCAAACCCAAATATAATTTTATAATAAGCAAGGAATTTTATTCTGTGGGGACTTTACTTAGGCATGCAAAATTGAATATAAATATTTTTTTTCTTCAGCAAGACTTCACTTAAAATGGAAGTCGACAAACTTACAGCAAAAAACACACTAATCAAATATTCAGATTCCCCATAGTATTATTATTATAATTGTCATGATGGTGGTAGTGACAAGAGTCGTTATCTTCTAGCTGTCAACTTCTTTCTTGACTTTGCAAATCAACATAATTATATACTTAATTGAAACTTCAAAGGAAATTAGTAAAAAAAAAAAAATCAATAAAAAACCAATCTCGATAATTTACCTACGATGTTCGTCCTAGAAAAGCATCTCAGGCGCCATTAGTTTCGTCGTAATTCCTACACTAGGTAAACTCCTAACACGTAAAATGATTTTTGAGGTGGTTAGATTAATGTAGAGAGATTAGAACGAATAAGACAACTAATAGGCACCTAAAGCACTAATGATGGGTTTTAATGGGACCACTAATCCATACTTAGTGGATGTAATTAGAGTCAACTTCAAGTAATCTTTTATGAGAAGTTATGTCCGTAGAAAAAATCATAGGGGGGCCATCAAGTCTATTATATATCTTGGATTTTTTGTGATATAATCCTCAAAATCTTGTGTGATTGAACTATTTCGTTTCTTAATTGTTAATTCCGAATCTAACTAAATTCGTAAAGTCAGACCTAAAATTTTATGATCTTGAAAAATTATAGTTGACTTTCAAGTCATCTTTTTCAATATTTTCATTTGTAACAAAATCGGATTTTTTGTGTGGCCTAAACTGGTGCTAAAGTTCTCACATTTTGCTCTGGGCCTCCATTGGTTAACATATTTTGATTTGGGCCTTCCATTATTACATGAATACACTAGGCCCTAATTATTATCCATAAATCTATATAATGCTTATAGACTATATAGCCCATTATAAATATAGGGTAAATTACAACTACCCTGAGATATGGTCAAATTACCAAAAAACGCTGTTGTTTGGATAATTACATCCAACCCCTCAACTATGAATCTTCTTACACCTCCAACCTTATGGTGTCAAATTCAACATAATTATCTAAATTCCATAGAATGAGCTCTAATTTGTACTCATTTTGTATAAAAATACAATTTTCTGATGCACCACAATCTGATATATACAAGCCAAAAAACACATCTTATGATCATTTTGCTTCAAAATGTGGAGACCGAATGGGATAAAACGGGTACAAAAGTGATAATATTACATATAATCTAGAAGATTCTAATAAATTTGAAACTGCATGGGTGAACGTGTAAGAAGATTTATAGTTGAGGAATGGTTGAAATTACTCAAACATGAGGGGGTTTTTGTAATTTAACCATACATCAGCGGTGGTTGTAATTTACCTATAAATATAAGATGTTCTCAAACGCTCCCAAAAAAAACTACTATTAAGAATGCCTATTAAATATGTCATTATTTAAAAACTTAAATCATTTTTTTATTTTATTTTTAATAGAACAAATATAAGATTAACTTTTTATAAAATTTAACCTAGACCGAATTGTAAATAATTAAAACCCAAATATTGACTGCCATATTATATAATGTACGCACTAGCTAAGAAGTTACCCGCCCATAAAAGATACTTTTACCTCCATTCGATTAAAGCGGGTCATCATCCGAAACAGCTGTCCTCGTACAAAGGTGGGCCAAACTATACACACGCAAATGTACCAGCCAACTTTATATTCAATAATAATAATATTCGTACCACCACATAACATTGATCGCTACATCAATTTCACTACCAAAGCTATATAGTGGCCACTTTCCCTCAAAACTATTGGCAAGCATAGGGGGGAATTCTTTTTTTTTTTACTACCCAAGGACAAAATCATTAAAGCAGGCACAGCGCAACACGTGGCGATACATAAGTGGGGCTTACTCTTTTAAATTATTGGACTGTTCACTTTCTAGCTAAAAATTAAATAAATTGTGGGGAATCGTCCCTCTTAGACTATGACTCTATCTAAACCAATAATTAGAAGCAAACCTCAGGTTACCCTCTACTCATTCATCCAGCAAGAAAAGCTTTACACTAATCATCCATAAATTAAACAATTTCAATAATTTCTAAGCTAATCTACAAGCCTAAACAAGTGTCGAATCTTATTAATTACCGTTCTTTACGCAGAATATTCCCTCTTCCACCCCCGCCTAACTGCTAAAATTCACACGTGGTACTCGTATCCGTGCTCTTATTAGTTCTATAAACTATAATCGGCTAAGTTAGGCTGTCAAAATCGTAGCAAATCAAGATAAAAATACATTTCGGGGAGATGACTCACAGGCACACGGTATTAATCTAGTATCAAGAAATAATGATGTGGGGTCGCACGAAAGTTATAAGTTTGATTGGAAGATTAAGAGTGGTTAACCACATTTTCTCTTTATATCCTACTGAAATTGATGGCACCCTACCATTAATGAACTTTATAGCACCTCTTAACATCAAAATCGAACAGTACACTATTTAGACTAGGCAAAGAAAAAAAGATGGTACCTGTGGTCCTCGCTTATTCTTGCTCTTTTTTTCACCATCCAAATTCACTTTCTCTTCATCTGATTGATTACACACTTCTTCCGAACTTCTTCTCCATACCATAGGAATGGAGGAGGATAAAGAAGAAGGGAAAAAGATCACGGTGGTGAGTGAATTGGAAGAAGAAGGTGAAGAAGAAGAAGACGATGATGAAGATTTCGAAGATGATAATAAGAAAAAAAGAGCATTAACTCCCTGTAAGAGAAGGGCTTCGAGTGTAGGAGGAGGATCGACGCAGCGTTCTTGTCAGGTGGAAGACTGCCTTGCTGATATGAACGCGGCAAAGGCGTACCATCGCCGCCATAAAGTTTGCGAATTCCATGCCAAGGCTACGGTTGTTCTTCTTTCCGAGTTACGGCAGCGGTTCTGTCAGCAGTGCAGCAGGTTAGAATTTCCCAAATTTTATGCGATTAATTCTGTTCCCTATATTATTTCCTGCATAGTGCAATATACTGTCGGTTAATAGAAATTGAAGCACGCAAAGACATATCAATATCCAACAGACTATGAAAAATGAGACTCAGTTAGAGATATCACATAGATGTAAAAGGAAAATGATTCGTTTATTACGAAATTCTTATAAATCACACTAGTTAAACTAAATTTTATGTTCATCGATGGACACACTAGTTAAACTAAATTTTATGTTCATCGATGGACTCTGCAAAAACATAAAACAAAAAATGGAAATTGTGCCAGGCACAAAACCATGGCTAATGACTCAAAGTGAGCAGATTAATAAAACAGTACACAATAAGACAAGCCTGGAAATAATCATGGGCTAAAAATTGGAGGTATTAGCACTTCACAGTGTGGTATGCTTCATGTTAGGTTAGGAAGTAGTCATTTACATAATTCAGCATGTTGTAAAACATATCTACTTTAACTGTTTCTAATTTATAATTACTTGATATTTATGGTCAATTATATCAACAAAGCACTAGTAGACATGAACTCATGAGCACTTTAATTTAGGTCGGACTTAGCCAAGACACAGGTAGAAGTGATATTTGACAGAAAACAAGATCTAATATAAATATTCAATCTCCGGATATCATGTCCTACAGGTTCCATGAGTTATCAGAGTTCGACGAAGCTAAAAGAAGTTGCCGAAGGCGTTTGGCGGGACACAATGAGCGTCGGCGCAAGAGCTCATATGATTCACAATAATAATATATTGAATTAATGTAATTTCTAGACCAAGGCAAACTCACTCATCGATGAGTACTCGAGTGGGCCTTCTGTTCACCCCTGAAGAGAATGCTCTCTATCTTCTGTCATTGCTGCTTGATTACTTTTCAGAAAGCACTAGCTGGTTATGTATAAGTAATAAGTGAAAACTACTTTGTAATAAACATTAATAAAAAGCTAATGTAATGCATCCATTTCATGTTACCTACCTTTGTTTTGCTACCATCCTTGGGCAGAAATATTTGGCAATCAATAGCAATAGCCTGCAAACACAACAATATCAACACTTTTTCCATCATGTTACCAAAATAGAAATAGTGATACAGTGGAATCATAGACTGGTAGCCACAAAAAGTTCCAAGTAGCCCAATTATTAAATATAACATGTAACTATCTCCAAAAAGTACACCAAGTTCAAATTAGCACAGAACCTGAGTTAAAGATGCAGCAGCTAATTAAAATCTAAAATCTCTGGCAGTACATCTGCATCTTTAGGTCTGAGTAATGAATCTCTATCTGCAGCTGTAAAATGCAAGAAAATATTATAAAAAAACAGCTCTATATAGTTCATATAAGATTCTAAAACTGAACCAACTTGGAGGTTTGAAAAACAACATCTCACAAGCTAACCTTGTTTTCATACAATGCAACAAAATGTCCAATTCCAGGTGACAGCCAGGTATGACTTTCCCTTTTTTAAGACAATTCATTGTCTTGTGAATCATGGAAGGACAGAGAGTATCTGCCTTATGAACATATTTCCCGTCTAGTAAGCGTTCGACCACAAATCTTGCACAGTCAAGGACGTTTTCCAAAAAACTATGATACCCGAACCACCATGAAGAAAGGCTATGTGTGTGTGTGTGTGTGTCAAATAAAAGACAAATAAATTTCACAGGATTTGATATCTCGCATGCAATTTTAAGCTCTAGGATTCCTCAAAACAAGAAAAAAAAATTGAGCAAAAGAACCTGCATAAACGCTTAATAACCTTTTCAATTCCCTTAAATATAGCACTATTGTTTAATTACCTCTCCCTACTTTAGGTAAAATACGAGGGGAAAATCTCCCCTACTAATTTGATGATCAAAATTCTACAAACATGCAATCCACATTTTATACATGTGGATTCTAACGAAGTAGCGTTTTGCATACTTTATTCGCAGCAACAACCCTAATCATCAGATCCTTTCACTATTGTACCACATTAAGAGCATAACATCTAGAAAGAATTACAACACATGCTAACAGCCACCAATCACTATGCCTTCATGCTTATTCACGCTTGATTCCCAACATTTTCATAGCCAATTCCCACGTGACAATAGCAGCAGCATTAGCAGGAAATGCTCTGACTATTGTAGGACCAAGACCTGTATAGCACCCTCTAATTCCAGATATCTTGTAAATCTAGCAATGAAAAATAATTAGGTATTTATTGCTACATCTCTGAAAACTCGGAAGAAAATTTAAAGTTCCTCGTTGCATACCTTTTCTAGAATCTGAAAAGGATTTCTTGTGTGGTTTTTGTCCGGCGCAGTTTGAATTATGGTCTTTGCCACATCTAACGGCAGGATGGCTGACCAACACTAACATGTGTAAAAATGTGCCAGAAGTTAGAGTATCATAACAGAGACGGTACGGATAAATAGACAGGGGGGGCGTATAAAACTGAAACACTTACAGCGATTCCACCAAGGCCACCACTAAAAATTCCAATTCCCACATCAGCAAAATGGGATACATCAGAGGAAGCATCTCTCAGTGACCGACGCATGTAATAGCGCACATGCTCATAAGTGCTAAAGAATACTGCGTTTCCAATAGATTCCCTCAACAAGGTAGCGCCGCCACCTCGAAAAATGCCTGTAAGCTGAAGAAAAAATCTATAAGCTAGAAAGTAATTCAGTATTTAGTTTTGATTGAGCATGTTGATTCTCACCCCTTCACTTTTTATAGTTTTAAGGGCACAATCAATAGGACCGTTGTATCTGCTGGAGCTCTGAACGATAGAGTCAGTGCCTTGAACTTGCATTCTACACTGAAAAACCCCACAATCAAACAAACGAAGTAATCTCGGAGGGAGAAGTGTAAAGCTTCTGATTCACTTACCTTTACTAGCTCTGATGGGCATAATACAAAGCTAATAACAGCTCCAGCGAAAGCTGCTGAAGGAAATATTGTAAGAAGCTGTGGCTTGTCAGTTTGTATCCCTCCCTATAGAGATACGAAAAGTATCAGTATGAGCATATCGATCTTGCAATGAGTCCCAAATATTAACATCCATAGAGCTGCATTTTAACTATTTTACTGTGTTATCAAGGTCAAACAATTCAAGAGAATATAGGATAGTGATGTCGCTATATGATTCAATATATAACAGAGCAACAAACCTGCAGCAATTGTTTTGTCTGAGAATAAATTCCAAATGCAAGCGAGCTTTCAAAGGCCATTCCCACAAAAGAAGATGTTGCACCACGATAAAGCCCTTTCACCTGCCAAACTAACTATTAATTGGCACTATGCAGAAAAAAGGATGCAAGCACCACCAATGGATTACTTGCACCAAACTCATAAATCACCTTGAATATACTATAAGGCTCCCGGCATACTAAGGGGTAAAAATGAGAGTTAACAATGACGAAATAATGCATAAGTTAACACACTCAACTGCTTAAGATAGCGAGACAAAAGGAAATAAACACACACCTAAATGAACCAAAAACATTAAGTAATAAGATTAAAAGGAAGGATCACGCGCCAGAGCCTGATGGAACATAAATACAATCAGAACATGTTACATTGAAGCAATGTCTCGGGGGGAGTAAAGAGACGTACTCCTTCTGTCTTCAAAATCCTTGCAGTACAGTGCAAACCACTCTTGTACTTCATCCCACTAGCTTCTGTATTGTGTTTTTGAAGCTTCACCTGTTAATATGGATCAAGATGGGCAAACAAATAAGGCCTCGAGTTACAAAACAATCGGGGCAGCATTCATTTTCTTATTCTTAAACAACAATGTAATGAAAAAAGAGCAGCCAATGGCTTCTCTCCTTACTAGTGATACCTATCAATCAAATACAAAATCAAGGTGCTCAGTTACAATTCTGATACTCTACTATACATACCATTTCATTTATGAACTTCAATACAAGCTTTATATGTATTTATCTTATCCCCTCAGCTTGGGGTTCTTATAATCTCTGTAGCTAAACAAATGTACTCAAACAATCAATTGTATTCCACCAACCTATCGATTATCGCCTCAAATAAATTCACACTCACCACGTTGCTAGGCCGATAAAAAAAAAAATAGAATGAAACAGAATCAGAGAGAGAGAGAGAGAGAGAGAGAGAGAGAAAGAAACCTTGACAGTGTCGAAGGGATGACCAACAACGACAGTGGCAACTCCAGCCAACATACCGGCGACGTACTCCTTGTAGCCCGAGCCCGAGCCCGACATTACTTACAGGTTCGTGAGTTCCGATGAAATCGGAGAAGCTCACGGGCGCAGGCGAATCGACGGTTGTGATCCGCCGGAGCTTTGATGGTGAATCCGCTCGTGAAAACGGCGGCACTTTTTATTTATTTATTTGTTTATTAGTATTTGAGATTTGAGATTTAAGATTTAAGATTTAAGAGCAATCAGGTTTATGCTTCACGCTATTGGAGATGGGGCGGGCGGTGGCCACACTAAAACTACAGTAATAGTAGTATAAAGTTACTTCTCCTAAATTAACTCCCTCTTGTTTGAGATTTGTGCATATAAACCCCTTCTACTTTCAATATAATTATGTATATGACCCCTTGCAGTTTTATCTTTGCGCACAGGACCCCTTATACTTTTAATATAATTACATCACCCCTAACCACTTGTTAAATAATCATGTGCGTTAGGTTATTGAAAGTACACAGGGTTATGTGCTTATATTACAAGAGAGCAAATTACTGTCACCCCTGAAGTATGGTTAAATTAAAAAAAAAAAATAAGATCATGTTTGAATAATTACAACCACCCATCAACTATATGTATCCGAGTATCATTATTTTCCAAAGTATTTCATGCTCACACAACTATCTATAACAATAAATTTCAAATGCACGATTAATTTAAACATCCAAACAATAAAAGATACAGTACAGCAATACAGGCACACAAAAAAAAGGATCAACATTGACATATACGAACACTAACTCCAGCGGTCTAATAATAAAGGGTACAACAAACAACTATATAAATCAGCCTTCAAATCAGCAACTCTGTTTATTTCGTATTGCGTATATAATCCTTGTAACGAAGCATATAAAAATATATTCATAAACAATACCTTTCATTTGCTGAAGCAGCGATTTGTTTCTTTAATAAAATCACAATTTACTGGGTATAATAAGGTCATTAGTAAAGCTGCTTCTAGCCATGCCACGCTCATCTGTCTTGTTCAGCAACTCGTTTCTATCAGCTATAAATTTGGCAAATCGAGAGCCCTTTGTTGTACCTTTGATATTCTCTTCTATTGGAAATTTCTGAATATCAGGCACAGGGTCCGGCTTGGGATACAGTGGTGGCATTAATGCCCATACCGAAGAAAGGTGTTCATTCGGTTTTTCAAGTTCTTCTAAAATCGTAATATCCTGCATATCTGAAGAAAATAGAAAAAGGGGGTTTTTGTTACGTTGCATTTTACCAAATATTTATTTTATTAAATGATCGACTAAACAATTTTAATAACCTTTAGAGAACTTCAAGATCGGTTCGAGAGCAGCACATGGGATGCTGAAGTTCAAATGTGGTATGACCGTTCCTCCACCATGCTTAGCATTGCTGTGGAAACAATTTTCACAATTTACTTTTGAATAAAATTACTCGTAGAGAGAAAGAATGGCAGAATAAGGTATATACCTTGTGACAAGACCAATCATGTGACCGTTTGAATTGACAACAGCACCGCCACTACTGCCAGGGTGGACAGCAGCGGTTGTTTCCAGCATGGCAGGAAATTGTTCGCTTGAGTTATGTGGAGACCTAGTTGCTTCAATTACTTTAGCTATTACTCCGAGGCAAGCAGAAGGACGAAAATCTGAATAAATTCCAAAAAGATATTATATATATCAAATTGTCACTCAAGGTGGAGTATAGAATTAAACATTGAGAATGACTTTTACAGTTTTAATAATACCGGTTCAACTTCAAACGTGATTTTAACCATTTTTCGAGTCTGAATTTGTAGTCCTTTGAGTTAGATTTCTAATACAACTTAAATCACCATGATCGGATGTCGAGTGAGAAAGATACGCTGAATCAATGAACATCCACAACTTTGATGTTTAGAGTTATCTAAAATTCAAAATGAACTCATTCATTCATGCATAACTGTCTTCCGACTCCAATCTAGCTGATTCAAGTTGAAAGCTAACTCAAAGGACTATAGTTTCCGTGTTTTGATTTTTGACTTTTGCCAAAATCATACTAAAAAAAGTTCAAAATCACGTTCAAGGTCAAAACGGGATTAGTAAAACTGAAACAACATTTAACATTTCACATACTAAAAGGGAGGTAATATTTACCACAACGAGGTCCAAAAAGCCCGTGGCCGATCACATAAGCTTTTGATCCAGGTGAAGGGCAATCAATGTCAACAACGATAGGGCAAAGCTGATGTGGAACAATCTCAAGCTGCAGTAGAGCAATATCCATGGGGCCCTTGGAAATATACACAATCTTAGCATCACTCCACATCCAAGGATCCATAAAATCTAACCTCACGCGTATGTTTCTGTGGTTTGTGTGCCCACACATGAGCTGGTAGCCAGCTAGTTTCTGCAATAGTTTTTGCGCT